TGAGAGTGAGTGAGTGAGAGAGTGGATGAGTGAGAGTGAGTCAGTGAGCCAGTGAATGAGAGTGAGTGAGTGAGAGTGAGTGAGTGAGAGTGTGAGGAAGAGAGTGAGTTAGAGTGAGTGAGTGGATGAGAGAGTGAGTGAGAGAGTAAGAGTGGGTGAGAGATTGAGTGAGAGTGAGTGAGAGAGTGGGAGAGTGAGTGAGTGAGTCAGTGAACGAGAGTGAGTGAGAGTGAATGAGTGAAAGAGTGAATGAGTGAATGAGTGAGTGAGTGAGTGAGAGTGAGTCATTGAACGAGAGTGGATGAGTGAGTGAGAGTAAGTGAGTGAATGAATGAGTGAGAGTGAGTCAGTGAGCCAGTGAATGGGAGTGAGTGAGAGAGTGAATGAGAGTGAGTGAGAGAGTGAGTGTGAGAGAGTGAGAGTGAGAGAGTGAGTGAGAGAGTGAATGAGAGTGAGTGATTTTTATCTTCTTAATTGCAGTGAAAATACTTGTGTGCACCACAACACCTTCACCACTTAAACACTTCTAACTCAGTGACGTTGATCACATGCTCGTGTTGTGGGAATCCTTTGCAAATTATTCTATCACTATTCACATCAACTCATTGCCCACTAACGATTCTGCCCTTTTATATTCCGCTCTATGAATGTAAACATTCATATGAACATGGACGCATAGTGACACTGTGAGGTAATCGTTGGAAGGCTAAGGGTAAGGTCAGTGGTTCAAACCCACTATCAGCTCCACTGGTGGAAAATGAGGCTGTGTGCTCCTGTAAAGATTCCCAATCTCTGACCTATTGAATTGTATGATATGTGTCTTACACTGCACTAAAACAGTATGTTAAATTTTAATTTTAAAAAAGATTTATTCTATTGCTTAGGGTTTCTATGACTTGGAATAGACTTGTTGGCATGAGTGTGAGTGTGAGCTGACCCAGAGACACTGGCTTGAATTACCTGCAGGGAAGGTCAGTGAGTGCCATTTGGGGCGTGTGGATTTATACCTCTATTTGGAATCATTATTTTCTAGGTAACTCCATTTTCTTTGGCTCAGTGTTTATAAACACTCACATAACTGAAAACAACCACCCTACTGAAACTGAGTCTATGTCAACTCATAGGTAGCCCACAGAGGGTTTCGAAGGCTTCAATTTTACTGGCAACAGACAGCCTCAGCATTCTTCCTCAGAGCAGCTGATGGATTTGAATCACCAACCTTGAGGTTAGCTGCTCAACAATTCCCAATTGCAACACCAGGATGTGCAACACTGCCATCAAAATTAACACCCTTAAGTTTCAAGTATGGGTCTCTTCCTATCCATTGAAAATGAGTGAGGGAGAACCAAAGATCCGTGGAAACTAGTAGTTCAAAGGACTAATGAAAGACTCAGCCCCCATGACACTGAAGCAAAGGAAGTAGATGGTGTCCAGCCCCTGAAAGGATCCAGATGGGAAGTCCTGAGTAGAGTGGAAGAAAACAGTGGACTACAACTCAAAATAACAAAAAAACGTAAAAGATCAGGTTTACTGGTCTGACAGAGACCAGTGAAACCCTGACACTATAACCTTTGTTTTAACCCATTAAGCCAACTCTGGTGCAACTTGCAGACAAACAATAGACGACAGGCCCATAAGATGGACAGCAACACCAGAGGGACATGGACTCCCAATGAAGTCAAAGGTCACCATTTGCTCAGAGTTGAAACTCTGCAGGAAGAAGACACAGGAAAGAAGGACAGATGGAAACAGGGAAACACAGGGAGCAAGTGGAAGGGTGCTGGTGAATGGAAAACTCATGTACTCTGTCAACTTCCCCCCAAGTCACACGAAAACATTTTTTAGAACCATGTGACACGATTCCACTCTGGGCACACAACACCCACCAATAGTCTTACAAAGAGTCTCTTGCAACATATTCATTTCCCAGCAGTGTGAGTATCTTACAATGAAACAGATTTAGCCTGGGGAGTTGCTCTATTTACACTTTAGGAAGTAGGAGCCAAAGGTCCACAATTCCTCTAAAAGAGAAGAGACTGGTTCAAGCGTCAGCAAACCTAGAGTCCTGTCACTTGGACCAACAGGCACAGGGAGAGACTGTGGTTCACACATTGTGAAAACAGGAGCCGTTGTCACGGAACGATTTGCCTGGGAACTGTCAACAATGCAAACCTAATATGCCAAGTACACTTGCCCCTAAAGAAATGGGATTCCATTAGAATTATATGAGTATTCGATAAAACATAGTATTACCTTTTTTTTTTTTAATTCAAGGAAGCGCTACTTTTAAGACGTTAAAACTCACTGGAATGGAATCCAAGAAGCCCCCTGGTGTAAGAGTTGTGCATTGGGGTTCTAAGTACACGTTCCAACTTTTCTCACCATTAGCTGCTCTGAGGGAGAAACACTGAGCTTTAAACTCTTGCAAAGAGTTACAGTCTCAGAAACCCACAGGGGCAGTTCTACCTTGTTCCATAGCAGCGGTTCTCAACCTGTGGGTCGTGACCCCTTTGGCGTTCGAACGACCGTTTCACAGTGGTCGTCCGATTAATAAGCGTAGCAAAATTAACGTGATGAAGTAGCAACGAAAATAATTTTATGGTTGGAGGGGGGAATCTCACCAAACATGAGGAACTGTACTAACGGGTCGTGACATTAGAAAGGTTGAGAACCACTGTCCCAGGGGGTCATGAAGAGATGTCATGGACTTGATGACAGCGAATTGTTTGTTGTTGCTGTTGCTGTTGTTGTTGTTGTTTAGGCTCTGAGTCGATTCCAACTCACAGGGACTCTAGAATAAAATAAACAGAACAGAATAAAATTGCAGCGGTGGGTTTCTGAGGCTGTCGGTCTTTACAGGAGCAGAAAGCCTCATCTTTCTCCTATGGAGGGATTCCAAACTGCTGACTGCTGTTAGCAGCTTAACTCTTCTTTTAAAAAAATCATTGTATTGGGAGCTTTACAGCTCTTATCACAATCCATGCATCCATACATTGTGTCAAGCACATTTGTGCTTTGTTGCCATCATCATTTTAAAAACATTTGCTTTCTACATGAGCCCTTGGCTCCTCTTTTTTTCTGCTCCCTCCCTCCCTCATGCTCTGTCACTCCCTCATGAACCCTTGATAATTTATAAAGTTTTTTTTTTCATGTCTTACACTAACCAATGTCACCATTCACCCACTTTCCTGTGATCCCTTGCCCTGGGAGGAGGTTATATGTAGGTCATTGTGATCAGTTCCCCCTTTCTCCTCCCACTTTCCCCTTCCCCTCGTGGTATCCCTACTCTCATGATTGGTCCTGAGGGCGTTATCTGTCCTGGATTCCCTGTGTTTCTAGCTCTTATCTGTATCAGTGTACATGCTCTGGTCTAGCCGGATTTGTCAGGTATAATTAGGGTCATAATAGTGTGTGTGTGTGGGAAGCATTAAAGAACTAGAAGAAAATTGTATGTTTCATCAGTGCTATACTGTGCCCTGACTGGCTTGTCTCTTCTTTGTGACCCTTCTGTAAGGGGATGTCCAATTGCCTACAGATGGGAGTTCGGTCTCCACGCCGCACTCCCCCTCAATCACAATGATATAACTTTTTGTTCTGGGTTTTTGATGCCTGATACCTGATCCTATTGATACCTCATGATCACACAGGCTGGTGTGCTTTTTCCATGTGGACTTTGTTGCTTCTCAGCTAGTTATCGCTTGTTTATCATCAAGCCTTTAAGACCCCAGACACAATCTCTTTGGATAGCCGGGCACCATCAGCTTACTTTACCACATTTGCTTATGCACCCATTTTGTCTTCAGCGGTCTTGTCAGGAAAGTGAGCATCAAGGAATGCCAGGTCATAAGAACAAAGTGTTCTTGCATTGAGGGAACACTTGAGTAAAGGCCCAATGTTTGTCTGCTACCATAAGACTTAATATATAAATATATGTGCATATCAATTTCCCCATTGTTATATATAGATATATTTACATATTATGTACATGCCTGTATTTAGACCTCTAAAATTCCCATTTTCCTCCTAGTTCTTTCCTCTATTTTCTTTTACTTTCCTCTTGCCCCACCATCATGTTCTACCTTCATTTGGGTTTCAGTAATTCCTCTCGATTACATTGCCTTTGATCAAGCCCTCCCAGGCATCCCACATCCTGGTTGACATTGATTTTAGATCACTTACTGTTCCCTTGTTCCTGGGTTCGTCGGCAACCCCCTTCATTTCCCCCTCTGCTTCCCACTCTCCTGTGTCCCCCTGGAACGATTGTTCCAGAAGTTTTCTTCTCAGGGTTGTTTATCTAGATAGACATGCAGAGACAATAATAAGCACAAAACCAAGACAGAACAAAAACAGACAACAAAAGAAAAGAAACAAGAACAATAAAAACCCAATGACAAAACAAATGAAAGTCTATAAATAGAGAAGGACAGAGTGGATCCAGGGAGCCCCTGGAGAGTGGACTGAGGCCGGGGGTTGAAGAGACACGAGACAGGTGTGGCTGGGAAGGGCGTGGGCCTGTGGGAGCAGGGGAGGGGTCGCCACCTGCAGACATTCTGGTGTCCCTGTGACAGGGTGGCCAGGACCCTGGGGCTTCCTGACCTTCTGAGTGTTCTGAAAAGGGATAAAGTAAGGTGGAGGTGCTGTTATGGCTAAGACATGACAAAATATCATGTTATAAATTATCAAGGGTTGGAGAGGGGGGGGGGAGAAGGGGACTTTACGTTCTGGGACCCTCCCTCTGTCTTCCTCCTCCGCAGGCCTTTGGGCAAAGATTCTCTGCTGCGTGTGTGGGCGGGGCCTCTGGTGGGCGGGGAGTTGGAGGGCGTGGTCTCAGGCAGGGGTGGGGCCTCAGGGGAAGTTCAGAGACCCTGGTTGGAGGGCAGCCAGTGGGGGAGATGCTTCCAGTGGGGCGGGGCTCAGCAGGGGAGGGGAGGGGATGGGGCTTTTCTTGACGCCTCCCCCTTTGTGCAGACAGTGAGCCCAGGAGTGGTCTCCACAAAACTGACTGATCACCCCAAACCCGGATTGCTGGTGAAAGATCCCCAAGACTGGGCTGAGCAGGCGGTGCACACCCTCGGCCTCTCCTCGCACGCCTCTGGGCGCCTCAGCCACGAGGTGCAGGTGCGTCCAGGGCTGCAGGGCTGGGGCACTAAGTCCTCTGTCCTAGGGGGGTGCCAGCAGAACAAGTCCCCGCCCTGGGCTGGGTAGAGAGGGGGTGGGCTGAGAGACCCAAGAGAGAGGCAGGTACTGACCCCTGTCCCTTCTCCTTCCTAGAGCTTCCTGATAGGTCTCCTGCCCTCCTGGGGTATTTTCAGACGCTGGGGGATCAACCTTGGGAAACTTCTGGCATCTTCCAAGGAAAAACCATAGGGCAAGGGGTGACGTAGGCATGGGGGCTGGTCTACTCGCTCTTGTTTTCAATATCCTGGGCCAGGACTGTGGATTTTGGAATCAATGTGCAGACCGGCCAGTGCAGCAGAACTGGATGCCAGGAATTGACGTTTAGACCTTTGCAGGGAACAACGGGAGTTTCTAACCCGTGATGCCAAAACAAGGACATAGCTCTTTGGAGGAGGGGGATGTATGTCACTGTATCTATTTATACACACAACTTTATGATCATAATAAAAAGCCACTGGTGTGTACCCCTGCAAAGGGTAACTGTAGAGCCTGCGAGTTATTTCTTTTTTTTTTGCGAGTTATTTCTTGATAAAAACAATTTTAAAATAAAAATGCCCAGCAGGATAAAATTGAAACTAAGGATGCAATCCATTCATATGGCCATTATACCCGCAATTCCTTATGCGATAGATTATAATTCTGGACTCTACACATGTGGTTATAATCCCATTTGAGCGAGAGCTGTCTCCTATGTTACTTGTCAGGATTAAGATGGGCTTTGGACTTGACCATAGAAGAGGCTGTGAACCATTTCACACGCTTTGTTTCCTTGGGTATGCTGTCTGCTGAAAGATAAAATGATCCTCCATCAAAGCCAGTGCTCTGTGGGTAAGAGCCATCTCAGGCACAGAGAGAAACCCCAGGTCCGTTGGATGAACAACTGGGTCAAGATCTCTGTCTGAAGTGTCAGAGGCCGAGAACAGAGGCACACGAGGCGGAGGCAAGGGGACAGAGGAGAGAAGCAAGGCCAAGACGATGAGACTGAGCGGTGCAACAGTGGCCTGGTTTCTGTCCCACTTGGTCACAGGTAAAAGGACCATGTGGCTGAGGAGCCACAAACCAGAAAGTGACTTGGCAGTTGACTTAGGAAAGGCGTTTCCCAATGGCCAATGACTGTCCTTACTGTCCACTACTCCTGACCTGTGGTCACCTGCCAACTTCCCGACTAAACATGTCTGTGGGGTGTGTGTGGCCATTTCAATGAATTTTCACACGGGTATAGAAGGAGGTGGGAGGTGGGGGCATGTCTGACCTCTGCCTATGGCAATAAGGAAGAGAGAGGTCAGACGTAGGCACTCTATGCTGCTTGCGGAAAAACCATTCCTCACCCCGTACGCCAACTTAAAACTCCAAAGGGATCAGAAATTCCTGTGTAATTAAAGAGACACACAAGGAGGGATAATGAGGTGGGGGAATTCCTTTCACAGCTGAATCAGTTCAAGGGGGTGCTTGCACAGTCGAAGGGTACATTAAAGAGACATCAGACAAGACCAAGCACGCCAGGGCTCACCTCTTCCAAAGGAGCCGGGAACCAGAATGAGGCGGTAGTGTATTCTCTTACGACCTTATAGAATCTGGGGCATGCAAGTCACAGTAAGTTCATACATAACAGGAAGGGGTAGTATTAGAGGCATACATGAAACATGAGAGGGACGAGCTAGGGTGTACATGCAATAGGAAGGGGAGGTACCAGGGACACACACACGTGACAGGAAGGCACGTATGTAACAAGATGGGCAGGGTCCAGACTTCAGATGGTGGCCGGACTTTGGTCATCTCTGAGTTGGCAGCCTTTAGTTCCACTGAGCTCTTCTTCAGGGAAACACTCGAGGATCCCGATCAGAAGGGAGTAGGACCACTTAGGATTAGATGGTCTGACTGTGTTTGAGGGCTGACAACCATCAGCAAAGAGCCTTCAAGCAGTTGACCTTCAAGTGCATATAGTAGCAGCCATGTGCTTGCAAGCAGCACCTTAAAACTGGCATTATTCTGGGGGGACACCCTGGGGAATCACTTTGACTTGGGAGAAGGTGACTGAAACGCATCTCCAACCTGTGAATGTGAAGCTCTCGCTCCACGGGAGGCCCGGTCTCCCAGACTCCTTAACATAGGAGAGGAGAGAATTTGTCCACAGACACTCTCTTCCCTCCCAGTCCTGTTGCCCACACTTCCCCCTTTTGTTTCTATTGTTTAATCCCGAAGGGACACTGAGGCGACATTGACACTTTCTAAATGGCAGAAGCCTTTTGACTGTCACCACGAAAATATTGATATGGCTGTACCCGAACTTAGGCTATGAGAAATACTTTGAATCCAGGACCCGGGAGCTAAGCCCTCTGCCCCACCCCACTTCAGGCCCCAGCATATCCACCAATTATTTAATTGTGCCAACACAAGCGGATGATTGAAAATCTAAATATACTGAAAATCTCTGTTTTGAGCTGTCTGATATCTGATGGGATATTTCCCTAACTTTAACTATGCGGAAGACATTGATTGAAAATGTCCCTTTTAGCTGATTGCCATCTAGTGCGATGGTCCCCTTAAGTCCCTGCCAATGGTTTCTCATGAAAAGCCCACTCCTGTAAGGTTACATGGCATGAATAAGGGGTTACATAAAACCTGCAATGTTTAGCAACACATGACATTGAAAGTCCATCTCTGATCTTCCAGTGAGTGAGCAGCCGGTTGTCTCGGTCCAACCATCTTTGTCTACAAAGGCCCCGTTACGATAGCGCCCACAGTGTCTCTCTGGCAACCTCAGCACTGGTCGGCGTGATGATGAGAACCGGGAAGGCAACCATTGCCGCTCTCACGAATCCGCGAGGCCGCCTTCATGGTTCCAGAACTTCAGCACCAGGGCTGCCTGCTCCTCCTCCCTGACACACGGACACCTGGTCCTTCCTCCCCAGGCCTGGCTGGACTTGCTGCCAGGGGGGATCCACGTACTCTATCCCTCAATCCCTCACCTGAGAAGACACAGGGCGGAGAGCCCCTCCCAAGGCGGCTAGCAAACCCAGATCCCAGACACCCTTGTTGTCTTTCTACCAGGGCTTCTCTGGATCCACTTTCTCCTGAAGGACAGACAGGTGCTTATCCCTCCTAATGTTAGAAGCTTTGGGGAAAGAATGTTTTTTGAGTTCATAAAGTTTAAACGAAGCTTGGCATGTACAGAATCGCCCTTTGTCTCCCCCCTTCTGTTTAATAACTGGGATTTTAGAGTGGCATGCGCCTGTTCCACATTTCAAAGGTTCTGCCAATTCCTGGAATACTGCTTTTCCCAACCTTGTGTGATAGGTCCTATCAAATCCGCCCCGTGGGGAGCAAGGTTGAGTACAGTGACCCCGATAAGGGGGGCCTTGCAGAGTGACCCCTCTGGACCTTGCCCTGAGCCCTGGTGCTGTGGCTTAGCTCCCTCAGGGTTTAGTGACAGCAGGACGGGAGCTGGGCAGGGTGAAGTTGTAGAAAGCATGAGGCGTTCATGTAGGCGGACTACCTAGAGCTGATAGCAAACTACGCCCTAAGGAAGTCACTGCCCTAATATAATCTGGCCCTGTAGGAAAGACTTCCTGTTAGATTCCGGCTCTGGTGGCAACAGCTGCGATGTGGGACCCACTGAGCGCACTGGGTGTTCTCACAGCTGCGTGGCTTCTGCTGGGGGCAGCATGGAGAGTGGGTCGCGTGGTCTATATCTACCTACTGCCCTGGGCTCGTCCGGGAGACCACTGGATCCGGGCCCAGGGAGCCTGGGCAGGTAGGTGAGGGTTTGGCGCTGGGAGCGTGGAGGTAGGGATGAGTCAATAGGAAAACTGGAATGGGGGCAAGGGTGGAGGAGGTGCCATGAAACAAGAGGAATGAAGCCTGGCCCGCCCTCTGCACGTAGGCACCAACCCCTCTCTCCTAACCTGAACCTGGACAGACGAGAGCAGCAGGTGTGTTGTGGTGGATCAAGCGTTGTGCTGCCCACAAAGGTGGGTTTTAACCCACTCGCTGTTCCGGGGAACAAAGCTGTGGCTGTCTGTTTCTGTACAGACTCCCACACACCCACTGCCATCCAGGTGATGACCCTATAGGACAGCGTAGACTGGCTCCTGAGGGTTTCTGAGACTGGACATCCTTAGGGGAGCCCTCCTACAGCCCTCATTTTTCTTCTCCTGAGTAAACTGGTGGGTTTGAACTGCTGACCTTGCTGCTGCTAACAACCTACTCTGTAAAGCTTTCCAGTCTCCAAGCCAGACCTACTGGTACTGAGTTGATTGTGTCTTGTCGCCGTGGTGGGTGGGGTTTCTGAGACTAAGTCTTCACAGGAGCAGGGAGCCTACACTCTCCCAAGGAGAGAGGTTGGTGGGTTTGAACCACCGCCTTTGAGGTTAGCAGTTCAAGGCTTACAGAGAGCAACAGCAGCCCAAGCTCACAGTCATGGAAATCCTTTGGAGCAGTTCTCCTGTGTCCCATGGGATTGCTGAGTCTGTATGGAAATGACCCCACAGCAAATCCGTCCAAATGAAACTCCCCAGCAGGAGTCGCTCCTGCCTCACAGTCACTCTATGGGGCAGAACAGAGCTACTTCTGTGGGGCTTCCCAGGCTGGAAGCTGACCATTCTCCCGTGGAGGACCAGCTGCTGGGTTTAATGTGCCCATCTTCAGGTTAAGGGTCCAAATTGTCACTCAATGTGGCACTAGGACTCCACAGCGTTTGATTTTCGGTTTAGGGGCGTGTGTGGGAAATAAGGGCTGAGGTCCGGAGGAGGCTGGGAATAAGGAGGCGTGGGGAGCTGGCAGGGAAAGCTCTGGGGTGAGCTGAGCCGCCCCCTGCTGTTGGAGCAACCCAAGCTGGTGTCCCTGGGACACATGCTCCCTTCTCTCCACAGTGGTGACAGGAGCCACGGATGGCATTGGCAGGGCCTACGCGCACCAGGTGAGCTGTGATTGGCGCAGGGCTGGGAGGGGCGGGAGCTCCTGGGCTCCAGCAGCCACGCCCACTAGAGGGAGCCTTTGTAAGGCAGCACACCTGCCTCTCAGGACCACCTGCTCCTGCAAGCCTCCTCTCTGCCCCCCTCTGCTGGGGGCGGGTGCTTCCACTGCCCCTGTGACTTCACGCTGCACACTGCTGTCCTCGATCCTCACCCTCATTCGCGTTTCACGTCCTCCTAATTCTCAGCAGGCAAGCCCGTGTCACCTGCTCATCTCGGGTTATTACTGATGCTGCATTCCTCCTATTTGTTTGACATGAACTTGTACGTCACGAAAGAATCCAAGTTCAAAACCCATCTGCAGAGCATCTAGTCAGATGAAGCCGCTGGCAGAGCCCCTCCAGCCACGAGCCAGGGTCCCCAACAGCCTTACCCTCGGACAGGGATCACTGTAATCTCGGTTTTGCTGGACTGGACTAAATACTAGGTCAGTTGACCCAACCTGAATTTGTTCTAGGTGCAATTATCTCTTGCTTGTTCCATGACAAAATTTTCCTCCATAGCTTTTAAAATATTGATGGAGGGATTTTTTACCTTATTCTTTATATTTTTGTTTTGATATTATTATGATTTTATTAATACCTCTTTATTTCATTTTTGTTTTCTAACGTTTCTGTTGGGTTTCCCAGTTTGTGAAGCACAGAAGGAGTGGAGGCATATTAACTGAAGCAAGGGTTTCTGAGGGAGTTCGGGGTGACTGTGGGAGATGGGGAGGGTGAGAGGATTTCAGGAGTAAACAATGAATTTAGAAACACTAGAACTGATTGTGATTACACAACTCATTTTAAAGGCGACGTAACCATGAAGAAAAAGAAAGAAAATGTTTTAAGCTTGATTGTAAGTAATGATTGTACAATTCTTCTTGATACTATTGACTGTACAATTCTTCTTGATATAATTGATTGTACTATTCTTCTTGATATGGTAGCCAAGTCTCTCTGTGGTTCTTAGTCTCCCAGTCACATGGTCCCTTGGCCTTTCCTCCAGGAGCCAGAGAGCCAGTTTGCTTACTAATGTGTCTCACAGTCCATAGTCTCAGGCACATGAGGAGAAGGTGCCCGTAGACTCCTTGCTGCGCTGAGCCTGTGCAACACGGTTCCAGGGTATCTGGTCTCAGCAGCGTCTGTGGATTCGGACAGAGACCTTCAATGTGCTTTTCCAAGGTCCTGGAGGTTCTGGTATCTCTGCTATTCTTTCAAAGAATGGCTCATCCTTATAGAGAGAGGAGCAGTCCTGAAATTGACCAGCCCCCACTATTCGTGGTATACACATCCTATTGGCATAGCCTGGCCCCACCAATCCCGTGGCGGCAATTATAGAGACAGTGGGTAGACCAAATAGATTATGAAATCCCGCTCCACCACAACCTTTATTCGAATTTATGCACCAACCACTAAAGCTCTCAAAAACTCACTGCCTTACAGTGGATGTTGACTCCCCGCAACCCCATAGGACAGGACGGGACTGCTCCTGGTGAGTTTCTGCGACTAGCTCTGCACAGGAGTAGAAACCCTTGTCTGTGTGCTGCGGTCCGGCTGGTGGTTTCAACCTTGAACTTAGCAACCCAACTCCCAGCCACTACCCCACCAGGGCTCCTTCCTCTACAGCTATGGATGAGGAAATGCATTAATTTGGACGAACGTTTTCCGTCTGAAATTGATCAAACACGCGCCCAAGATGCATTGGTAATAGTTAGGGATTGGAGGACAGAAAGAACAGTCGTAGGAAAGTATGGCCTTGGAAAGAGAAATACACGATGCATGCATACATCCTTCCCTCATCCCCTGCAGTTTGCCAAGAGAGGTCTGAACATCGTCCTCATCAGCCGAAACGCGAACAAGTTGGAGAAGGAGGCAAAGGAGATTGGTGAGACCCAGGGCGAAGGGGATTGGGGCAGTAGTGGGGGATGGGCCAGATCTGGGCTGCATGGGCAATGAATGGGACAGGGACTGAGCAGGGTCAAGGGCTGCAGCAAGGGTGGGACCAGACACAAGCTTCGTGCCTGATTTGCTCCTCTCCCCCTTCCTAGAGCGGCTTCATGGTACCGACACACGTGTCATCCAGGCTGACTTCACCGGGGGCTTGGAGATCTACGGGGCCATTGAGGAAGGGCTGAAGGGCCTGGACATTGGAGTACTGGGTATGTCCTATGGTTTGGGCGAGGCGGGGGCAGTGGGGAAGCGAGCCCTCAACCACCCCCAAGCTCAGCCGGATCCTGGGTCCTCTCGCGGCCGCACTTCCTGGACTGCTGGAGTGACACAAACCATGTGTTTCCTCTGGTTCAGTGAACAACGTGGGCATGAATCACTCTAAACTCCCTGTGAAACTGTTGGACTGTGAGAACCCAGCCCAGGTGAGTGCACCTGGCCCTGACTCCCCAGAGGCACCTGGCCCTCCGACTCGTCACTGCCCTCTGTTGGAAAGCGGGCGCAATGCCCTGCCTTTGTTAGGACCGTGCTCTCTACCACCCTCTGCAGGAGGCTGGTGTAGAAGCTCCAAGTATCTGATGACCCAGGCGTGACTGACCACCTTGTGAAGGGGATGCCCTTCTGCAGTGCGCAACCAGGACCACTGTTGGGCCTGCTCTCACCCTTTTAATTTTTATCTTTTTTAGTTGCAGTCAAAATATGAGTATACACAACAAAGACCTCACCACCTCAGCAGGCATTTCCACATGTTGAATTCAGTGACAGTGACCAATTTTTTAAAAAGTATTTTATTGAGGGCTTATCACAGTCCATACATACATCCATTGAGTCAAACACATATGTACACCTGTTGCCCTCATCAATGTCATAACATTTGCCCTCTACTTTAGCCCTCAATATCCTTTGCTAATTCCCCCCCTCCCCCCTCCCTCCTGAATCCTTCATAATTCATAAAATATTATAGTTTTGTCTTAAGTTACACTGTCTGACGTCTCCCTCCACCCTCTTCTCTGCTGTCCATCCCCCAGGGAGGAAGCTATTCTTAGATTCTTGTAATTGGTTCCCCCATTCTACCCCGCATTCCCTTCACCCTCCAGGCATCGCCCCTCTCACCACCGGTCCTGAAGAAATCATCTATCCTGGATTCCCTGTGTTTCAAGTTGCTATCTGTACAATGTACATCTTCTAGTCTAGCCAAATTTGCAAGGCAGAATTGGGATCATGATATTGCGGGGGAGGAAGCATTAAAGAACTAGAGGGAAGTTATATGTTTCATCGTTGCTACCCTGCACCCTGATTAGCTCGTCTCCTACCCAAAACCCCTCAGCAGGGGGGTGTTCTGTTGCCAACTGCTGGACTCTGAGTCTCCACTCTGCACTCACCCACCTTTACAATGACATGATTTCTTGTTCCTTGATGCCTGACACCCGATCCCTTAAACAGCTTGTGGTCACACATACTGGTGTGCTTCCTCCATATGGGCTTTGTTGCTTCTGAGCTAGTTGGCCACTTGTTTATCTTCCAGCCTTTAAGACCCCAGATGCTATACCTTTTGATAGCCAGGCACCATCAGCTCTCTTCACCACCTTTGCTTATGCACACCTTTGTTTTCAGTGATTGTATCAGGAAGGTGGGCACCCACTGATCTGATTTTTAGTCCTTTGATGTCTGATAACTGGTCCCTTCTGCACCTCATGGATGGCCGCTTGTTTATCTTCAAGCCTCTAAGACCCCAGACGCTATATCTTTTGTTAGCCGGACACCGTTAGCTCTCTTCACCACATTTGCTTATGCACACGTTTGTCTTCAGTAGAGCGGGCACCCACTGATATGATTTTAAGTTCTTTGATATCTGATAACTGATCCTTTCTACACCTCGTGGTCAGTCAGGCTTCTTCCATATGGGCTTTGATGCTTCTCAGCTAGATGGTCGCTTGTATGTCTTCAAGCCTTGAAGACCCCGGACGCTATATCTTTGGTAGCTGGGCACCATCAGCTTTCTTCACCACCTTTGCTTATGTTCACATTTTTCTTCAGCAGTCGATTCGGGAAGGTGTGCATCCTGGAATGCCAGTTTAAAAGAACAATGTGTTCTTGCAATGAGTAAGAGTGGAGGCCCAATGGACAGTGACCAATTTTATGCTCTGGGAATCCTTTCCCAAATCATTCTACTCCTGGTGACCTTCACTCAACAGCCACTGATGCTTCTGCCCTTTCAGATTCCAGGAATATAAATGTATATGTGAATAGCGAGACCTGGTGGCACGTTGGGGAAAGCACGGGGCTGCT